AGATATCGATTCAGCGTTTTAAGCGTACGCCAGCATTTTGAGCGTTTCGCTGGTTGCAAACATTTCGCGGGTAGTCGCTGTAAACGTTGGCGTACGCTCAAAAAGCTTGATCGATATGTACACTTTCCTAATGGCTCAAACCGCTAAAAACGCTGCCGCACGCTGACGCAGAGTATAAAGGAAGTCACACAAATGGGCTAGTACGATAAACTCATGGCCGATAAATCGCAACTGAAGGACTTCTACTCACACTCAAGCTCTTGAAGACGACGATTTGTTCAAGGGGTGGCCAAAAATAAGGGTTTCATCATAACAACACCGCAAAGCAAAGAAAGAGAAAGAGGAGTCGCAGTCCTCTGTGCTATTCACGCCAGTATAACAGAAATGGCTACAGGAACTAATGCATTGAAACAAAATGGTTAAAAAGTAATTGAGAGAGACCTGTTCACAAAATATATGAACTTCAACAAAAAAAAACCTTTTGTGTGAGGATCTTCAAGGAAAATTGTGAGACAGTCGACGAAGTTTGTGCCATTGAAAGGATCTCCACCGATTCCAATACCTAACGTTTGACCGAGACCGACGTTAGTCGTCTGATGCACCGCTTCATATGTGAGCGTACCAGATCGCGACACAATGCCAATAATACCCTGAAGAGATTAAATAGGACAAGTCTCCACGCGAATTCCATTCAAACTGAACCTTTTTATGGATATGTCCCGGCATAATACCTATTTTGCATTCTTCCGCTGATATGATTCCAGGACAGTTTGGACCGAGAAGGCGGGTCTTGTTTTGCTTGAGAAGGCGATTCTTCACAGAAACCATGTCCTAAGAATGCTGTAGGAATTAACAAGTCATCTGAAGAGAAGTTCTAACAGTTCTAACAACCCTATTTAGGTACATTATCACCTTTATGAGCTATTTCTACGATTCTCTTTCGTAGCTGGACCTTAGCGAGAGGTTCAGGATGGTTACCTATACCCCAGCACTGAGAAGGAAATTATAGTAAGCTTAGCACAACTGCACATTCGTTTGATCACTGGAGTAAAGCAGCGTTCATACTTTGCGACTCGACGTTTTGGGAGAAGCAGCGATTTTAGAGGACGAGCGCTTTGAGCGAAGTGGATAGCATAGGTATGGATCGGCGCCCGGTCGCTAGAGTTTTGGGATGATCGCCGTTTTGAGAGAATCAGCGTTTGTAGCGCCAAGCGATACCTACACTATCGTTTGCGCTCGGAACGCCTATTCTCCCAAATTACCGATTTGTTCAGTTAGCTGGTCCTCACAAAACGTTAGTTGTAAAGTATGAACGCAGCCTAAGGTTATACACTCTGAATAGCTCTACAGCCGTGCAGGGTCATAAAGTCCACAAAACATGCTATCGTCTTGTGAAATCCAACTCGACCAAAAAAGAGAAAGTGAAGGCACATGAATAACGGGATAGCGATGTCATTTCTTTGTAACATGAATAACGTAAGCAACAATAGCAAAATGGTTATAAGCATAGAATTCGTACTTGTTGAGGCATTCCTTCGGTTATACATACGACCAGAGGAATTTCTGCATCTATCGCTTCATGAATGGCGGCAGCTGCGAAAGGAGCGGGTACGTAGATCACGGATGCATCAGCTCCTGTCTTTTCACGAGCCTGTAACGCATTTTCTAACTGAAGAACTTGAATGCTGAGTTTATATATGACCTGATAACAACAAAATAAGAATATTTCTGATCAAAAAAAATTACTAGATAAACATAAATGGGACCACAGAGATAAAAAAAGTTAGAGAAAGCATCCTTCATCATGACTCTGAGCAAGAGGAACCATACTGTGGGAGCCACTATTGCAAGTTTGTTCGAGCCACTAAGTATTTTCACCGATGCCGCAGGAATATTGTAAAGTCCTCTTTATTTGGAGTGGAAAAGAATATTCAGGTTCTGCTAAAAATAACTACTGGATAGTTCTTCTTGGCGGCGCAAAAATGCTACTCAGCTGAATTGTACAGGTACCTTATGAAGACCTGTTCGTTCTCAGCCGAGCACCATTTGATGCCTCCAGCAATTGGTCAATCCCTAAGTTTAAAGTGATCCACTCTAGCAAGTTTGCAGAGCCAGGGAAATTCACCGGCCTGACCAAAAAGAGGCTCGTTAGTTGAAACTCGCAAGAGTGCAAAATGTCCCCTCCAAGCCGAACAGCTTAACTGATTACTTCCCCACAACAGCCGGCTATCGAAAGTTCATGGAACATTACATATGAACCAAAACGGAAGAGACTGCATTTGGAAGTTATGTTTGCCGCATTCGGTGATTTTACGATTGAGAAATAAATAAGAGCTCGTGTTCGAAAAAGCCATGCTATCTCGAGCCATAGCAGAAACCTCTGCTCTCTTTCAATCGTTGACCCCATAAATGCAACCGCATATCACATTGGTTTTTGCAAGGAACACAAGTAGCAACTCCCCTCTTAATGTTGAGTGAGAAAAATGGCATTTTGAAAACCGAGTTTGCCCGAGATTCGTTTGTTTGTGTTGGCTTCTCAGTCTGGGCATGCGAAGTC